AACAAGAGGGTGAGAGTGATGCCTGAGAGAGAGCCTTAAAAACCATTCAGCTTGCCGTGTGCTCTTTCTTTTTCTCTCTTTTAACAGCGCTTGACGCGGTCGATAACCCTGACAGACTGTCACCTACTTTGACGTCTCTTTTCTTTTCCCCCTTGCTTTCTTTTTCTTCTACGTATAGATTGCACGCATCCTTGGCGTCGTTGGTTTTATACATACGAGAAAGCCAAGACACGCATCAATCTGCTAAACTATTTTTGTCCTCCGTATCAACTTTGATATTGTTGCCAAGCAGCAAACATGTCGTTCTCTGGCCGCCGCGTGAGCATTTTGCGCCCTTCCAACAGGCGATTCTCCCTAGGCAAGGAGTTGTCGGAGAATGGTGCGTTCTTCCTTGATACAAGTTTTTGATTGGGGTTGCACGTTTGTGATCGACAATGTTGTAGAAACCGCGGAATGAGGGGTTCAACAAACAAAAAAGAAAAAAAAGAAGGCCAATTAATCATACACATGTTCTCTAACAAAACTCCCTTCTTATTTAGAACTCCGATCGGAAACCCATCGTCAATTTCGAAGCGCTCACGAAGGTCACCGTCCTCACGCCGGCCTCGATGCCTCGCGTGCCTCGACAGGTGTCGTCTGGTGTACGGAACGTGCGACAGAACACGGTTTCGCAGAAATCCAGCTGAATGGGCGAATCTGGGCCAAGGTGCCCCCGAAGCCGATGATGAGATCGAAGGCAGTTTCCCCCGCCCGACGAGTATTCCTATCACCTCTGCTGCTCGTGAGTACGGCCCCACGGCCGGTATCAAGCCCCTCCGTGCTGCTGTCGCTCGGCTGTACAATGAGCATTACCGCCAGGGCAAAGAGAGCCAGTACACTTGGGAAAATGTCTGCATTGTGCCCGGTGGACGTGCGGGTTTGATTCGAATCGCAGCCATTCTGGGCAATTCGTACCTTTCCTTCCCCATTCCCGACTACTCTGCGTACTCGGAGATGTTGAGTTTGTTCAAGAATGTACGTGCGGGGTTGCTAGTAGACTTGATATGTGTCGCGATAGCTAACAAATTATCTTTTAGATCGCGCCTATTCCCATTCCCCTTTCCCAGAGCGACCATTATCATATCTCCCCCGACAAGATCGCCGAGGAAATTGCCCGTGGTACCCAGGTCCTCTTAACCTCGAACCCCCGTAACCCGACCGGACATTTTGTCTCCAGCGAGGAGCTGGCACAGATCCAAGACATCTGCAGGGATCGCGCGACGCTGATTTTGGATGAATTCTATGGAGGCTACAACTACACCACCGACTGTGATGGCACGACTCTCAGTGGTGCTACGAATGTGGAGGATGTCAACCAAGACGGTGGGCCAACACTCGGAAGCTATAGATGATTCTCTCATGCTAACCCTGGCAGATGTGTTGCTCATCGACGGTCTCACCAAGCGTTTCCGCTTGCCTGGTTGGCGTATCGCCTGGATTGTCGGCCCCAAGGAATTCGTTGATGCCCTGGGCTCCGCTGGTTCCTACCTGGATGGAGGTGCCAACGTGCCGTTCCAGGAAGCTGCCATCCCCATGCTTGAGCCGTCCCTTGTACGCGCAGAGATGAAGGCTCTTCAGCATCATTTCCGTGAAAAGAGAGACTTCGTTGTGAAGCGTTTGAACGAGATCGGATTCCGTATCAAGGATATTCCTCAGGCCACCTTCTACATTTGGCTTGATCTGACTGCCTTGGACCCCCCTCTTCCCGCAGAGGCTAACATCTCCGACGGTCTGAACTTCTTCAACGCCCTTCTGACCGAGAAGGTTATTGTGGTGCCTGGTATTTTCTTCGACCTGAACCCTGCCAAGAGACGAGACCTGTTCGACAGCCCTTGCCATCACTTCGTCCGTCTGAGTTACGGACCTAAGATGGATGTACTGAAGAAGGGTCTGGACGGCATTGAAAGGGTTATCCGCCGGGCTCGTGGAGAGGCCCTCAAAGCGCAATGGGACGACGAGGTAGCAATTGCTGACGACTAAGGGATCAGTCATGAGCGCAGATCCATGCACATACATATAGATTTATAGCTAGTATTTCATGAACAGAGGCCACTGCATATGTGTAAGCCATATCGTTCTTTCCCTCCCTCGTTTTCACCCTCCCATATCAAATTGGCGATGCTTTTTGAGCTTAACGTACGAAGTAGAGTCGCAGTATAAGAACTCCCCGTTCTAGACACGGCCCCTTAATTTAGTTGGACTCCGTCTTGCACGTGACCCCCCCCTCTCGGTCGGCCACAGCGACTCCCATTTGAAGTACTTCCTGTCATGATCATAGACGGTCGAGGCAGCGACGAGCTCGGGCTGCGATGCGCAATATGATGCGCTCGATATTATGGCCTGGAATATCTATCGCATCCTCAACTACACTACTTTTATCGTTCTCTCTGTCGTCCTCTTCTGTCTTATAGTGCTGACCCCAGCCGACGCGATCTACCAGTGCTACGTAACCTCGCGACTCACGAATATCTTTATCATTAGCGGTGGCTACATCGTGACTTTTATATTAGCGGCACTGATATACGCAACGCGGATCTATACCAATCGCAGCGCCTTGGCAGGAATCCCCAAAGCATGGATCCCAATAGAGAAAGAAGATGTCGGAAAGAGTGTGAGACGGCTAGTGGTTGAAGGGCTTGCTCGCAGCGCGATTGTTGCTTATCAAGCTAGGCCAAGGGACACAGCTGCAGATGGCGATACCTTCGCCGACTACCCCATGCTCTTGATAGACCGCGACCGCCCCCCGTGGGGCCTTGTAGAACACCCCGGATGGTCTTCTCCTGCATCCCCCGATCTGCCCGACCTGCCGTACCGAACGGTCATCCAAGAACTCCCGAACCTGATCGAGGCTAAAGCGGTCTCTCTTGCTCCCCCCGACCCCTTTTTGACAGCGACCCGCTCGTTTGACCCCTCGTCCCCCGGCGCGGAACAATCAATCCCGGACACGCGAGTGGTAGGCATCTTACGGCGACCGGCGTCGATGGGTGTGAGGGAATATTTGCACCACCTTACTAGTCTGGACGTCATCAAACCGCCCGAGATTGGGGCTGAATTCATCGCACTATACGAACGCGCGCGCTTCTCGCCGCACGAGCTTCACGAGACGGAGTTTCGGGATCTGATGCATATATTTGCTGAGTTGCTTAGGGGGATGAAGTCGCTTGATACGCACATTATGGACGATATTTACGCCGAAAGCTCTCACGGCGAGAGCGAGTCCATCATTGGACCTTCGGACGAGGAAGGAGAGACTGACACGATGGACTTCCGCGATGATAGCGAGGCGTTGTCGCGAGGCCGGAGCAACAGTTTGCAACCTTCTAATGCATCGACGTGGGAACGCCGCTCCACCTACACTACTACGTCAGGAAGGCAGAACCAGAGGTCCCCTGTCTGGTCGAGAAACGTTGACCGGCATCGGCTGGCGACGCCCCGAACGCCATCAATACGATCGCTTAGGCGGGTCCAGTCGAACGTATCGGGGAGTTCTGCAGGGAGCGTTATTCGTTTGGTAGATACCCATGGGCCCTCTGATTTGCCCTATGCGATTAATTTTAATAGAGCGTGAAAAGTTTTTTGGGATAACCCAATTGGATTACAATAATGAAAGCGCACTTTTCTTTTTACTGAAAATGAAACAGAGAGAAACTACCCAAATAAATGTAGAATGTTCGCTTTTTCTTTCTATGAATACTAGATCCATAGTTACTACTAGTACTAACATCCCCATGGAATTCCATGCGAATGACCTGATCTGGAGAGAAGATTGATAATAGCCAACCAATCAGGCCAGGCGCTATTCGTAGCCTAACGGTGCAGATCGGAAAGGATTCCGTGCTTGGCGTCGGTGATTGATAAGATCTGCTTTTCCAAAATGGCAACTGTGTCACTCCCAACTGTGTATTTTTTTCTTCCACCCTTCCCCTCCTTTCCCCATATCCTCCCCCCACACAATGCAGGCTCTCTGGCGACGCGGCACATCTCTCTTCTCAACTCCGTCGGGGTCGCCCAAAGACTCCGGGGCAGCGGAAGACTTCCGAACAGCTCCAAGCCCCGACACGCTATTCACGAGGTCGACCCCGCCGTTGACGGAGAAGAATGTCTCCACGACTGCGCTTCATGTACCGTTCGGTACCCGGCGAAGTTCGACGTGGACCAGGAAGATACATTGTACGGGAACGTCAATGGATGGTCGACACACCTGCTCGTCGCGACCGGGAAAACAGACTGGGTACGAGATGTCGCGGACGAAGAAGGCAGTGTGATGGAAGCGATTGAGAAGGGGGGGCTGGAGCCCAGTAACGGGGTAAGTCGCGATCGACCAACTACTACCACTCGAAAAACCTAGTATAATACTGATGGAGTGATGATGATCTTAGAAATTGAAGCTGTCGGCCTCCAACATGCCCGTGCCGGACGAATACCACCACCACGACTCGGGAAAACAGCCGACAACCGTCCTGCTCCTACCAAGCTTCACTATTGTTGACCATGTCACGCCGGCCCTGGCCTCTGACCTGATCAAATATATTGTCAATCCCGCGCCCACCACCACGACGCCCTTGGGGGCTCTCCCGGAGCCGGTATCCGCACCCACATCAGACGACCAACCACAACAGCCACCACCCATCGCAGACCTCCTATCGCAGACGCCCCTCCGATCGCGTCCCTGTCCCCACGCCGCGGTGATCCTTCTCTGTTCCCAGCGCACACGGGACGCCCGCTGCGGCCAGTCTGCGCCGCTTCTCCGTAAGGAATTCGAACGCCACTTGCGCCCGCTGGGATTGTACCGCGATCTCGATGACGAGCGACCCGGTGGCGTCGGCATCTACTTCATCAGCCACGTTGGGGGTCACAAGTATTCTGCGAATGTGATTGTGTACCGCCGTCGCGATTTGGAGTGGTACCGCAAACAGGACGGCAAAGAGGAGACATCGGCGGAGGGAGAGGAAGGTGCGGCGCAGGGTATCTGGCTGGCGCGCGTTCGTCCAGAGGACTGTGAGAATATCGTCCGGTACACAGTGTTGAAGGGGAAGGTGGTAAAACCGGAACAGATTAGGGGAGGCTTTGATCGGGAACGGGGCGTGATGAGTTGGTAGTTTCGTTGGTTTTGGTTTTGGTTGGCGGACTTCCAGTACAGTGCATATATACACCGGGTTATGGGTATGGATATAGATATGTGATGCTAGATGTATGGTATATGAATGGAGTTATGTATCTTCCCGCTTGTATACTCATTTAGCGGGCAGTAGGTTCATGGAGCTATGCCATTCGATACTGTAAACTGTTGTGAATCAGTACTACTGATCTCAACAAAGCGATTATGTACTTACTGCGTTGAATATACTTCAGTACAATGTTAGACTGACTACGAACGATAGCATTCTAGGATACGTAAATAGAGCCAAGGAATCATCACGCCGAAGTGATGTATCCCCGAGCATTCAAGGCGACTATGAAACTAGAAGAAAGCCCTGGTATAACCAAATCCCTTTCAGTCACAGTCTAAGCCAATAGGGCACATGAACCTTCACTCAACCAAAAGCAAAAGTTCCGGTTAGTGAAAGAACAGCCATCGGTGGATCCCTCATGGATATGAAGAGCAGCTCCTGTCACAGTGCATTCTCCCCGAAGCGATGAGTATAGTAGAGGGATCCTAGGACAACCAGATCGACAATCACCACAGAAGCTCAACAGAGACACCAGGAGACAGAGGACAGGGAAAGAGCTTGTTAGAACAAAGGTCCAGACATTGTCCTCTCTTTTTGATCAGATAGCTCCATACCTGAGTGGCAAGTATGGATCTAAGGCCCATGGTATGTAAGTTGTATCCGGCTTCTAGAAAATACATGGCTTTAGTTTGTCGGGAGTCTGCCCCTTACTGTCGTGTATCTGTTATGCGTTTATCGCGATTCGTTTTCAGTTGCAGGACCGTCATGTACCGATCGCATTAGTCGCCATGTCGAGTTTACCCTAGTTCTCCATGGCTACTGGACAATTACTGTCCGACGGCTATGTCAATCAGAGACATGGGACAGGCAACGGACCAACGGAGATTCTCGGTGTTATGTTCGTATGAAATGAGGTGGAAGTCGAGAGTTTGTTAATCCGCGAATACCCATCGAAGTCTAGACACAAGATGTCAGCACATCGAGTTATTTGGTTTAGAAACTAAACGAGGTGCTTGCCATTGACCCATTGCCTGACACAGGTCATACCCGCTTGAATCTAGACGTGTTTCTGTCGGGATAATCCCCCCCCTAAATGCCATCCCATTCACCAATGATCCAAGAAAAGTACGAGATGATAGAACGAAATGCTAGTGCCACTGTCCAGAGTCGTGTATTTAGTCACCTGCCACATCAGGAAAATGGTCTATGAAAAGCCGTATCGTCCATAAAAGCGACGCGGCGGAGACTAGTATTTGAGTCTGTCATCCACAAGTATGCCATTGACATTCGCCCTAAAATGTATCATGCTTTCGTTTAAAATTTCCCGAAGTAGTATAGTGATCGTTCGGGTTCTTTGAATAGATGTACTCTGTAGTACTTCATGTTAAGCTAGAGACTGAGTCGCCATGTGCCTACAAATAACGGGGCTCTATGGATGGATATGCACATGTTGGACATTGATCCTAGTGGTTACTATTCGAGGCAGGGGATTCCGGCGTATCGGAATGGGAAACTACCGAGGATGAAGATTTATTAGCAAAGATGAAGAACACGAGAGGACGACGAGAAGTGACTAATACCTCCTTTTTTATTGGCCAGTTGTTCCCGTCTTCTTACCTAAGACCAAGTGTCAATCCTCCCAAAATTATCCCAATCCAGATAGTGTGGGAGGTGTGGACATGGTGTGGACATGGACGTGTGTGCTGTACAGATTCAAAGTCGTAGAACATCGAACTAGGCTCACCTTGGGTAGTACTACTAAACTAGTCCCAAGAACGCTGGAATACTACGGCACCGGTACGCCGTACGTAAAGGATCCACTCCCGGAGATAACCAGGAGAAATAACAACAGCAACCCCTTTGAAGGCTTTTGCCCTCCAGTGGGCCCTCCGTTATTGGTCGGGAGACACGAACTGGTTGGGTTGGGTTCTTGGCCCACTCTGTCGGTGTTGATCTTCCATTTCATTTTCAACTCAGAGGAAATAGAAACGAAACTTGGACGGCAATGACTATCCACGGATGGGGGGAGTCTAGCATGGAGACCTCCACTGTTCATGATCTTTTCCGCTAGGCTGAGAAAGGCAATAGTTGTTTCGGTGTGCTAAACTGACTGTATCATATTGAACGCTTTTTGACCCATGAGAGAGTTTATTCCGGTCAACCTTATTGGGTTCTTCCGTGGGTATGGAGATTGAAGTTGATTTGTGATGTATTCGTTGCATCTCGGTGACTTCCATTAGTTGACGACCCATATCATCTGGTAGGTAGCATGCACTACGCATACACCTGGATACCTATACGCTTCTCTTATATAGGTACGACATGCTACTGGGAAAAAATCACGGTCAGCTAACATAGTTGCCTATGCTCTGCACACGCGCAGACACAATCAGACTTCACCCCCAGAGAGAGGAAGTCACCGCCACAAGCCCCACAGCTAAAATGAGCCGCTAATTCCCCGATGGGCAGCATTCTGGCTGGTTTCCCGCACGTCTGTCAATGGATTTGGTGCTCCACTGTCTGATAGACTGGTCTAGATAGGGAGATCATCTGGATGCTCGTCGTCAGTGACACCGAAAGAAGAATAGGATCTGATTCTTTTTAGACTGTCAAGCTGGGTTGCGGATGGGAGGTTGAAGGTATTGTTCGTTTTGCTCTCTGTGTCAATGGAGGAAAGAAGATAATTCATCAAAGGTTGATAACTTGCTGGCGTTGGTTTTAGAGTCTGGGAGGTATAGTGTACTCATGCCTTGATATACTTCAAAGACAAGGTCAATGGCTGATGCATGCCTCTGTGAACCCTGACTGTATGATACAGCCTCGTACAGTACATCCCAAACGAAGACCGTGAGAGGCAAAAAACAAGGCAACCAGACACGAATCACTCGCAGTATGCATTCCATGGGGCGAAAAGTCCCAATGAGGAGGCAACTGCAAGGCGTTTAGGAAATTTTCTACGGGCGTCCAAACTGTTGGGAAACCTTACCATTCCAGTAGGGAACGTCAAATTCAGAACAGGTAAGTGATGATGTTTGTACCATGGAACAAGGTGGGTTATGCGAGGGTTCCCTTGAAGTCTATTCTGCACCGGCCACTGTATGCCCTGTCCTCTTGTCTTGGATGGTGGTTGTATGCTCGTAGCAATGGTACGGTTTCTACCTCAGACTCCTTCTTGGTCCAAGCTCCTAGGCCACTTCTTTTCTTTTTCTTGAGCAGAAAATATGATATGACCAGTGACCCTTTCTTGGCCACTTAGCTACCCCTGAGTGCCGTGTTCTAGCGCCTCGCGGGAAGGCGGATTGTGTTGCTCCGTGAAAAAACCGGCACAACTCCCCAATTTCGTGCGAAGGGGTTTGTATACTATCGTTTCTGTTGGTTGGGTGAGGTTTCGGTTCGGTAGGGTGGTATGGGGACCCTTGTATTCAATATAGATTGCTTTCGTGTTCGGATAAACCATATCTGAGAGAGAGAGCCATAGGATACCTTGTTCTCTACCTGGAGTATTGGTTCACTATATGGAGTCACTGCGTCCATATCTACTTGGGAAAGGTCTGTATTGTATCATGCTGTACCCACGGATAAGTAATCCACGGCGGTTTATCAAAAGCAGGGTGAAAGAGTAGACGTATCAACCCCGCAGTCGAGACGCCAAGGTTGAGGACATAAGCCGGACAAAGGCATTCATCTTGTGATGACCAGGGATTCTTGTCGTCGTCGTCATCCAATGCAGTCATGGCTGCTAGATCCTGGTGTAATCCCCCGATAGCTAGTGGGTTAGTGGGCTATTAGCTGCTTCATCTCGGTACCAAAGCTCAACTACGGAGTACTAAAAGGAGGATATCGGGACCAGCGCCTTAGTGCAGGGACTAAGTGGCCCCGACTCAAGTAGGAGGTGTTGTTCACTTGTTCTGCTGTAACAGATGGAGACCTCGCTGTCCTCGGTAATTTCACTAACGAAGCCTGACCCGCATTAGTCATCTCCCCTGATCGAATGAGTGGGTGAAGCCAGACCAAAATAGTAAGAAAGTGGAATAGCCGCTCGGAAACCAAGGTTCCTACCTCGGAATTTTTATCCATGATGATCTGATTGCTCGCTTTCCGGCGGTTGCCCCCTAGTATTTTCCAGGGATGGCTCTATACACGCTTGAGGTGTGGCCTGACCAAAGGGAAAACAGGTTAACGGTGCAGGTATGTAGGGTCGATCGTACTTCGACATGCAGGTGGTGGTGGCATCGAATAGTGTGTTGTTCAAGAAGTTTGACGGCCTTTCGTCCAGGAGCACTAGCTCGCGCTAGTTCTATACATGTCGAGATGTTCAGAGACCTGAATGGACATGGCTGCACACGCTATCTGAGTGGAGTCACTTACCGTTCCGACTGTCGATCCTTGGCTGACGTTGGCAGCGAATGGGACTAATTGAGCGAGTATCGGATTACTATCAGTCATGCCAGTAAAATGAAAACCCCACTAGCCACTAACTGGTAAGAATTTACTTCTGTGTCGTGCTCCAGGCTTCAGCACGTTTAGTCGATAGTAAGTAGTAGCTGGTACTGATAGTTGGGTGTAAAAGGGCAAAGCACGCAATGGCAGGTGGGGTTCCGACTGCTGCCTTAGGCACATATCAGATCCTCGTCCAGAAGAGAGAGTTCTCGAATTAGTTAGACCTCAGTAAATACACCCAGACCCATCTCCATCTCCGCCGATAAAGGGCGACATCTCTAGGTCCTGTTCACATCAAAATTGACAATGTAGACTAACACGTATCACAAAGATTGCCAAGAGATCATCTTAGGTATCAAATATCACAAACGCCTCACCCTAGCCTTTTAAACAGGGGGAATCAATCCAAAAAGTCGCAGAGGCTGCAAGGAATGGAAGCAGAAACAAGCAGTGATATCATTGGTCACAAGCATTGTAGCACAAAAAGA